TTTGTGCTGTCTTTGTGTTGCGAGGGTGCAATTCACCTTAGCAGCAGATGAGTGACACTGTTTTTTCTTTGTTGACAGAAATGATTTCGGCAAGCATACAGCTGGAAATACTAACCTGATCCGCCTCCAGACACTCTATCACGCAGATAAGCAGAAGACCGACCTATACATCCTTGAACTAGTGACATGGCTTCACCGGTTGATAAATTTAGTTAGACAGAGAGATCATGGTTTCTCATCTATGCCTGTTCAATCTCCAGCTCCCAGGGGACTGGTTTTCCGCACCAAGATGCAACGAATTCAATCCCAGAACCACGATGCCCAACTTTGTCAAGAAGATCTAGATTTGATAGCCAAGGCGTGTCAGAGGAGATTGGTCCCAGGAATAAGCAAAAGTCAGGAATTTTCTTTAGACAAGAAAAGAGGGCAGGTTTTGACGTTGAGCAGGAGTGCCGGAAACTCACCGGTTAGAAGGTTTGCAGCAAGACAAAAATCAGACCATCAAAAAACTAATATTATGGATGTTATGGATGGCCTAGATAACACAATATAAGACCATACTTGATGTAGTTACACTGAAGGCATTTGGCTTCCCTTACGAGTTACGAATCTCATCTGTTATGTATATTCTTTTGTTAAATTCCCATTATATTGTATATACCTTACATATATGATAATATTTATATGCAGCAGTATAAATATTATAGTTTTACTGATCTCTCAGTTCCATTCCTGGAGGTATTAGAAGAGGTGGATCGCCGGTTCTGCTATAGTTTCCAACATCAAGACTCGTATATTATTTGGTGAAAAAAACGAAGCCACCAGGTGCAAAAGAAAGCCACAAGAGAGGCAATCAACCACAGAGAAACCTATACCAATCTTTGGTAACCTATGTACGGGCAATTTCATTCTTTCTTGGTACACAACCATGCGCTTGAATCACAAACCTTGGTATTAAAATTTCTGATATTTCGGCACGATGCAAGGTAGGCTTGATTTCTTTTCCTCTGTAGAACCAGTAAGGTCTCATCTATGTTCTTAAATTTTGAAATTTTGAAATTCTCAAAGCAAATTTTGTAGGTTCTATAATGTTTATTGTTAACTGCTAATGGAATATGGTGGTGAGCTTACCTTTTGAAAATCTTCTCTCTTATGCATTTTTAGGTATTTCGCTGAGATGTTTATCATGGGATTTGAAAGAAGATGAAGTAAGATAAAGAATGAAGAATATGATTTTTATTTGAAATGAACTTTTACATTAATTATTTAACCGTGGGTATAATACCGGTAAATATAGCACTTTAAAATTTAAAATTTAAAATCTAATACGAATTAAGATTGATTAAATCAGTTTTTATAGCTTGATTAACCGAGTTAAAATGGGTTGAAACTTGGCCCGTCAATCTTAAATAAAAAATAAATAAAATAATATGGTATGATTTTAATAAAAATTATTTAGCCAATAATATATAAATTATAAATTCACGTAATAATCCATCAAGTTACCTTTTCGAGGTAATTCTCATGTAAAATATGACAACTATGCTGGTAAATTTTAAACCATAGGACCAGAAGTATCAAAATCCCTTACTTATTTTGGGCCGAATAAAAATACTTAAGATTTGGCGGTGGCAGGAGAGCTGTCATGGCTCGGCAACCACTCCCTCTGTTCGAAAACTTTAGCCACTGCCTTTGTTCAGCCACAAAAGCTTCTTTATCACAAGCACATGCCCACATCCTCAAAACTGGCATTTCACTGCCGGAGACCATTCAAATATTCTCAAAGCTCAATCATTTTGGTCACGTAATCCGCGTCTTCTCTTACATGCTTACACAAGGTATCGTGCCTGATAGCCGTGTCTTGCCTACTGTCATCAAGACATGTGCTGCGCTATCGGCATTACAAACCGGAAAACAGGTGCATTGTTTTGCATTGGTATCTGGGTTAGGTTTGGACTCCGTTGTCCTGTCCTCTTTATTACATATGTACGTTCAATTCGACCGTTTAAAGGATGCTCGCAATGTGTTCGATAAATTGCTTCAACCAGGTGTGGTTACGTCTAGTGCTTTGATTTCGCGTTTTGCGCGGAAGGGGCGTGTAAAGGAGACAATGGAGTTGTTTTATCAGACAAGAGATTTAGGTGTTGAGCTTAATTTGGTATCGTGGAACGGTATGATTTCAGGTTTTAATCGTAGTGGCAACTATCTTGATGCGGTTCTTATGTTTCAAAACATGCACCTGGAAGGATTGAAGCCTGATGGAACTAGTGTTTCTAGTGTGCTTCCAGCTGTTGGTGACTTGGAAATGCCGTTGATGGGGATTCAGATTCATTGTTATGTTATTAAGCAAGGTTTAGGACCGGACAAGTTTGTGGTTAGTGCGCTGATTGATATGTATGGTAAGTGTGCGTGTGCTTCTGAGATGTCAGGAGTGTTCAATGATATGGATGAGGTTGATGTAGGAGCTTGCAATGCTTTAGTTACCGGGCTCTCACGAAATGGACTTGTTGACAATGCATTGGAGGTCTTTAAACAGTTTAAAGGGATGGATCTGAATGTCGTTTCATGGACGTCCATGATTGCCAGTTGCTCTCAGAATGGAAAAGATATCGAGGCTTTGGAGCTTTTTAGAGAGATGCAGATTGAGGGAGTTAAACCGAACTCTGTAACGATCCCATGCTTGTTGCCGGCTTGTGGAAATATTGCAGCTTTACTGCACGGGAAGGCAGCCCATTGCTTTTCACTTAGAAATGGAATCATCAATGATGTTTATGTGGGTAGCGCGCTGATTGATATGTACGCTAAGTGTGGGAGAATGCTGGCGTCTAGGCTTTGTTTTGATATGATGCCCAACAAGAACTTGGTTTCTTGGAATTCATTAATGGCTGGGTATGCAATGCATGGAAAGACTATTGAAGCATTAAATATTTTTGAATTGATGCAAAGATGTGGGCAAGAGCCTGATCATGTTAGCTTCACTTGTGTATTATCTGCATGCACCCAAGGTGGCTTAACGGAGGAAGGCTGGTTTTATTTTGATAGTATGTCCAGAAATCATGGCGTTGAAGCTAGAATGGAGCATTATTCATGCATGGTGACCCTTCTTGGACGTAGTGGAAGGCTGGAAGAGGCATATGCCATGATCAAGCAAATGCCATTTGAACCAGATTCTTGTGTTTGGGGTGCTTTACTTAGTTCATGCAGAGTTCACAACAGAGTGGATTTAGGTGAGATTGCAGCAAAGAGAGTCTTCGAGTTAGAACCAAGAAATCCTGGTAATTACATTCTTCTGTCCAATATTTATGCTTCGAAGGCCATGTGGGTTGAAGTAGATACGGTGAGGGATATGATGAGAAGTAGAGGTTTGAAGAAAAACCCTGGCTACAGTTGGATTGAAATCAAGAACAAAGTGCATATGCTCCTAGCTGGAGACAGTTCCCATCCACAAATGCCCCAAATTATTGAGAAGTTGGCTAAATTGACCGTGGAGATGAAAAAGTCAGGTTATGTTCCACATACTGACTTTGTGCTACAAGATGTGGAGGAGCAGGACAAGGAGCAGATCCTCTGTGGCCATAGTGAGAAGCTGGCGGTAGTGCTGGGGCTTCTAAATACTAAGCCAGGATTTCCGCTTCAGGTTATCAAGAACCTTAGAATCTGTCGTGATTGTCATGCTGTTATAAAATTCATATCCGACTTCGAAAAGAGAGAGATTTTTGTTAGAGACACAAACCGGTTCCATCAGTTTAAGGGTGGAGTTTGTTCTTGTGGAGATTATTGGTGAACGAGTAAAATGGGTTTGTGGGATTGCTGCTATGATTCTTAACAATACTGAAGATCCTTCTCGTAGAACGACTAGGAGATCAGGTGAGTATTGTCTGATAAAATCTGAAGCTGACTAAATGGAGTTAAAAAATTTCACTGGAGAAGGATTTACATTAAAACCTTTGTAAATGTTTTGGCTCCCTGGGAGGACCCGTCAGTGCTACCTCTAGTGGAGCTCGTTGACAAGAACTTTTGGGCATTTTAAAATCACCATCAGCACTCATTTTGTTCATCCAAAATATTCTGATTCTGAATTGGTGATGAAATGAAAATATCATGCTGAAACCGAAACCAAATTCTACTCTCTGACCCCTTCTCCGGGCCTCCTCACATCTGTGCACATGTATGTAACTACACTGCATCTATTGTGAAGTGCTTCTGCACTTCTGTGCCCCGCTTATTGTTTTGATGCGTGACCTTCTCTATTGTGAAGTTTTGGAATTGTATATTATCCAGGGCAGGTGTTGAACATTCATAGTCAGCTCGAGGCAATCCAGGTGAACCTTTAATTTTCTTTTCACTTGATTATGCCTTTTATTCTGTTAATAACTTAAGTTGTTCATATGCCTTGGCTGGCTCTGAACTTAATTCATCTGTTTATTATAATTATATCCACACGTTTACAAACTGTAACTAATCATCAGAATTCAAGAGCTCTCTGCGGCCATTAAAAAGAGGGGACTTTTGGGCATTGATCTGGAGCACTGAAAACTCTCCGGTTGGGGGGATTGGTGCTTGGCATGGCCATTTCACCCGAAGCAGACAGACCTAAACCGGGCTAAATGGTTAGGAAATTCATAGGTCCAATCAGGTTTTGGGTTGGGTTCAGGTAAAACTTGAAGGCAGAAAATCAGGTTCGGGTTGGTTATGGATATTGGTCTATCCAACTTAAACCCGAACTCCTACTCGAACCTGAACCCGAACCCAAACTTGATATGAAATAAATAAATAATATTAAAGTTTGAAAAAATTACAAGTATACCAGGCTAATTGTATACTAAATAATTGTAAATTATAATATTTAGGTGCTTGTATTAGGTTATAGATATCTAATGGATACTTAAAGCCAAAGAGGATTTGGTATCCAAAAAATGTGTCCATACATGTTCAAGGTAGGCTGAGTAATTAGTTTGGATTCAAGTAATTATTTTGGATTTAGATTTGGTATCAATAATACAAAATCTTACTGTAGGCATCCATTGTCACCCTTAGTGGATGAAAGACAACATGGATCATCAAACACCTATATTCGGGATGTAATAGATGGCCTAGATTCCTAGCAATAAGAGTTTTCTTTGTCTAATCCTGTTGCGAGTATTGGCTTCCCTTCTGAATCGCATCTTTCCATGCATACCCTCTTGTTAAATTTTCCATTCTAGTCCACAAGGCCCTTGTTGATGATGATATCTATGTTACAGCAGTAATAATGACGTTGATTGGTAGCTAGTGGATCAAATCTTCTATGGTTCAAAATAATAGATATATGGCGTTCTATTTCAGAACAGCAAGATGGTTTTATTACAAGATTATAGTTGTTGAACTAGTTTGGCGTACTTCACTTGCTTTCAACTGCTTCCTCTTTCATACCACTTCCTATCCCAACTGCTCCTACTCGAGTTTAGCAGTTAAAACTAGCAACGTGTGCTAAATTCCCTGGTTATATAAGGTCTCTGGTGCATGAATGCATTGAATTCATTACAATGGGGGTCTTCATTACAATGGGGGTCTCCAAGTCACGCAAATATTGTATTCTTCTCTATGTTTTTCTCATCTTCCATGTTTCTTTTATTTGCAACGCACAAGCTTTATCAACAGTTGCAGATCAGCATGTCCTAGACGTGCCACCAAATGATGAAAATGCACCGGCTCGTGCTTCCCCTCCGGTTGCTGCTCCTATTCTAAACAACGTGCCTCCTTTTGCAAAACCATTAAGCAACCAAGGGCAACAGTCTCCACTGGGTTACCAGCAGCAACAAGAGCTGAATAATCCACCGCAAGACATTAATCAGCCTCGGACAGGCCTTACTCAACCACTTTCTTCTCTGAACCAGCCCCTCTCAGGCACTAGTGTGCCCTTTTCTGCTTTGAATCAGCCTTCTGGGGCCGTTGATTCCCAAAACTTACTGAGAAACCTTCCTTTTGCCAGTGGAGTTTCTGTTGAGAAATCCTCTACTGATCTGGGAGTCGTTTTATTTCCCCTTATTACATTGATGGCTACGCTCTCTAGTTTGCCACTATAACCGATTTAGGACCATCATCAGCCAATCTGCCCAGCATGTGCTTCCAATCTTCCATCCCCTTCCCGGCGGTCGGCAACTTCCATGTAACTTCTTTTTTTTTGTTTTTGAAGTGATTGTATGTTCAATGGGAGGATGGTTCCGCACTACACCAGTATGGAGAAACATCTGAAACCTGTACCTTAATATGATGATTTTAACATATTAAAATATGTTATCTTCATCCATGTTTATGTTTTATAGATGTTATTTGTGTTTATTTTTGTGTTTAAAAAATATTTTAAATATTTTTAAATTAATTTTTTATATTATTTTGATGTTTAAAAATAAAAAAAAATTAAGATATATTTTTAATAAAAAAATAATTTAAAAAATAACTACTTAAACATTCAAATAAGCTACTGCACTGTAAATAAATTTAATTAATATACTATCATCTCTAATACAAATTAAATTTGTTATGTATAAAATAATTGATAGGAAAAAAATTTTAATATATTTGTTTTGCAATTCACACACACACACACATATATATATATATATTATAAGTAGTAATAATATTTTGTAAAATATTTTAAATTCATTTCAATCATATGTCATTCAATTATTTTCACCACCACTGGTGAACCTATGACCACCACTTTTTTTTTTTCCTGCTAGTGGTATAGTTTATTTGGTAAAAGTTGTTTTTTAAATAATATTTTTAATATTATATGCTAGATTGTATATTAATTTTTTTATTTTTTAGAAATTATTTTTGATATCAGTACATTAAAATAATTTAAAAATATTAAAAATATATTAATTTAAAATAAATAAAAAATAAAAAATAATTTTTAAAAAAATACTTCTAAAATATAAAGATAAATAGGTTAACCAAAACCATCATGACTACGAGTGTGATTGTAGACTTGGTGTTGTAGGCTCACCTCTCGTGGCAACATCTGCTATCAATATTAACCCCACATCTTTTTAGTTATTCTTGTCAGCATCATCAGCACCTTTATTACAGCCGATACCACACCTGTCATTACTATTTTATTATAACTATATTTTTTATTCATAAAATATTTAACATAAATATATTAAAACATAAACTCTGTAAAAGATTTTATGCAAAGCACACACCCATTAAATATATATAATAAGTTATTTATGCAAATCACACATGTATTAAATATATTAAGAAATTAAATTTAGATGTTTAATTTTACTCAGGACTAGGGGCACGAAGACATCTAGTCTCATGGGAAATTCTGCTGGGGCAAATAAGAAAATTAGATTTTACTAGTTTTAGAGTAAAAAGTTAAAATTATTCAAACAGAAAGCTGAATTTTTTTTTTCCCGGAGAGCCGGCCCGGACACCGGCCAGTCCCGCCTGTTTCCATCACTGCTCGAGGCGCAAAATCTAAGTGTTCCAAAAAAAAAAAGCCACCCTCGAAAACCGAGAGATATTCCTTCGTTTACCAAGCTGCATCAGTATCGGTTTGAATTCCTCTTGAATGTCTTGTACGCGGTAGCAATCTTGGAAACATTAAAAAGAAAGCTGGATTTTTTGGTGACTCCTTCAGCTTAAAAAAGGGGGGGTGGTTGGGCTAGTTGACTCGGGGGCTGGAAGGCAGAAGTTAACAGCATTTCTTATGACTTGAACGCGGCAGCAAACTTGAAAACATTAATATTCTGCGCTCTTTCACCGTTATTGGCTGATAAGGTCTTTCATAATTGATTTATTTGGATGTTACAGACCGATTGCCGAAAAGAATCCGTCTTTTCCCCGCGTGATTCCTTGTTGCCCTTCTCCGAGTAAAAATTTCAGGTGACATGGAGAAAAGGGTCCTTTTGAAAAGAATTCAGCGATTGTTTGGTGTTATTGTCGAATTGTTTTGCTATTAAAATAATAATAATAATAATTTATATTATTTTAATGCACTAGAATTAATTTTAAAAAAAAATTAAAAATAAATAATATTATTTTAATATATTTTTAAGTAAACGCAATGTTAATGGTATTCCTGAAAAACCATTTTAACCTCATGCAAAAGTGTTCGGAAATTTAAAGCAACAGACAATTTTTTATGAATTTTATTTTTTAATTTGACACTAACAAAAAAATTAAGAATCTTCTTAATAAAATCTCCTTTTTAAAATTTATTAAAATTGTATAAGTCCTTACACCTGATTCTAACTTGCAAACTCAAACTCAAAATTTTTATTTTGGAAATTAATCTTATTAATCAGTGATAACATTAAATATACAAAATAGCAAAGATTTATTTTTTTGTGGATCAACATTTATTAGATTAATCTATTGTCAAATCATAATAACTTCTTAATTATATAACAAGGATCAGCGAATCTTTTCAATTTTACTTCCGTAAATTTTAATCAATTGACCTCCCTTTCATAAAAATAATATATATATATATATATATCATTTATGTTTAGAGAAAAAAATGATTTTTATGAGAGAAGTTTTCGAGAGAAATTAAAATAATGTTAGTGATGGCTTTCAATGGATTACGTGGTAGCTTCATCAATTGCCACGTATATGTGGTGAACTTGTGAAGCGCGTAGTCTTAACCTTACTAGTGTACTTGTTTTTGCAGAAAGTTTGAGGGTACAATTCAATGATGTAGATTTTGATGATTAGTTCTTTTGATGGTTTCGTGAAGCATGACCTGATGACCTTATCTATAAAAACAAACAAGAGGAATCGTCTCTTTTTTTTAAAAAAAAAAGTCTCCTCGTTTTTTTTTTTACTTTTAAAAAAGAAGACATCCCCTGTTTTGTCTCTCAAGAAGACAGGCCCATGTTTTCCAAAGCCCTGCATTTCCTATATAAAGAGTAGCATTGACGGGGAGGGAGTCATGGGGAAACTCAAACAAAGAGTCTGATATATATGATGTAAGGAAGGGTGGGGGGTGGGCAAAAAGGCACGAGAAAGGGCCACTAGGAAGTAAGAGTAGAGTTTTGAAGAAATGAGAGAAGAGTCTAGCCAAACTAAAAGAGCAAATTAATATAATCTCTCTGCAGAATGCTGCAAAGCAACATCGTCTAGATCTGAAACATGAGATCAAGCCGAAGTTGGTTTGCTGCACTCTGCTGGGAGATTAGATTAGTTTCCTCTTTTAGTTTGGCAGCCTCTTCTCTTGTTTCCTCAAACTTTTCTCTTACTTCCTTTTGTCCCTCTCTTATGCCTTTTTGTCCCTCGCTAATCTCACCCATCTCAGATTTTAAGTGTCAATATAGGTCATTGATCGAGGAATGACCCTCGAAATATATACCAGACTCTTTCTTGAGTTGCTCCATCATGTTATTTTGTTCATCAGAGAGTATCAAACCTTTAAAATAGAATGGTTATTTTCCTGACACCAGCCTGTCCTCTTGGTTCTGAAGCTGAAGTTCCATTTCCATCTTCAACGAATCACTAATTTATCAGGTATGATTTTATTTTTTTTGTGGAATTATGGGTTGCTCTTGTGTTGTTTTCATGGACTTTTATAATCTGCAACAAGCCCCTTCTCAAATTAAAAGCATGCAAAGATTTCTATTTTTTGCTCTGGATCAAACAAGGGATAAAGATGATTTTTCATTCATGAGATTTGCTGTTTTCTGGTCAGGAATTTTTATGTTCTTTGAAGTCAAAATAATCAAAAGAACAATAAAAGGTGTTTGTTCTGATGGAACGGAAAGTGAAAAAGCAAAAGCAGGGGAGAAAAGAAGAAGATTGTTTTCCGTACACGGAATGGTCGACAAGAAAGAAAATGGGATCCGGGAAAAGACAACGCAGAGGTACAGTTCCAGGGAGGTGGTGCCCTTCTCGCTGCGAGATCTATTGGCAGCCCCTCCTGGCTGCAGCTCAACAAGTGGTAAAAATATGCTCTCCTTGTTTGGAAAGCCTAAAAGCAAGCGAGGCAGCAGTCCAGGTAGGGCTGCCGATAGCAACAAGCGACAAATGATCCACAAAGAAACCAAAAATAATCCTATGGTTTAACACGTGACTGTCACTCGTCTTGTAATATCTTGGACCTTACATTGAGTGATCTTTCACCAGGTAGTTGAGATAAGAATAAATTTTTTTTTTTTAATTTCCGACCATTATACAAATGAATAGTACAATGAGTTGTTTCCTTGTTATGTTGTTTAAGAAGATTCTGGTTTTTTTCTTTCCATTTTCTTTGTCAGATCCATCCCTTCTCCAGCCTTTCCGAGTGTTTCCTTTTGGGCCAGTGACGATGGAGGAATGAGGAGGAATGTAAACATTATGTGTAGCTCTGAACTAGTATGCTAGAGGTCCAATGAGGTCTGTGTAAACCATGGCCTACCCAAGCTGATGAAACCTGTCTGAAGATTAACAATTGCTGTCTTTTCTAGGTTCAACTCCACGAAAACAGAAACTGGGTCGACTGAAAATAGCCCGGATCAGTAAGCCCTACCGAAACGCACTCCCGTAGCTCTCAGAGATTGATCTCCGAAACAAAAGGCAACAAGAAAGAAGAATAAAATCCAATCATATCTTTCACAAATGTGAACCCATCTCCTCGAAGTAATATCCCAATTAATAATTGCTGGGTTTTGTCCCTCTTGAGATATATATACATTTTTTTTTTTTGCTTTCAGTCAACCTTTTTGGTTATGTAGCCAGCAGGACTTGATTACCAACAGTTCCTTTCCAGAAAAAGGTTTTCGTGGCCTTCTACGTTTTAAGTCCATTTATTTTCTAGATGGCTACTTGGATTACCGAATATTTTAAGTTTTGATACCCCGTCCTAACTAGCTAAACACAAACAAATAGGATTAAATTATTATGCATTGCTGCACTATTAATTTTTATTATACGTTGTATATATGAAGTCGATCCAGTCCAGAATATGGGAGGAACTCAGCCTTAAACAAGGTTATACAATATCCGATTTGATGTTAACTTTATCTGAAATGGGCATGGAGATAGAGAGTATAAAAATCTAACTCAATCAACCCGTTATTGTCTCTGTTTTATCTTTTAGAGTTGGAGTATTTTTTAATGTGTGTCTGCCGAGCCTGTAAGGCATCCCATATTTCTTTCCTTCCCTTCACCTTCACTTGTTTTTTTATATATATTTATTTATTTTCGAATTCTTTTTATCAGTATTTATTGTTGAAGACTTGAAGTTATTGTTGCGATTTAGATTCAACTTTAACAAGCTCGAAGGTTGATGAGCTTGGCCAATGAACCTCGTAGCTTCTTGACCCTGATGCCAATAAATAATTAACAATAATGCGTTCATGCAGCCTCTTTGGCAGGATCCATTCTTTATGCTAAAGAAAAAGGGGCGGTCGATTGTTTATCCAATCAAATGATTGAGTAGAAATGCAGCGGATTTCAAAACAAAAATAAAAATAAAAATAAAAATAATAGAGACCAACACTGTCCATTTTATTGGACTTCGCTCATACGAGTGTCAAAAAAAAAAAGGGACTCGGGGACCGAGATAAATGCTTTTTTTAAATATAGTCAAATTAATATAATATTATTAGTTTCACTGTAACCAATTTTTTATTGTGTTGAATTTAATTGAATTTAAATGTTTAAAAATAATAAAATTTACTTTATTTTAATTTTTATATTACTCTTATTATTTTTTTTATTTCTTCAAAAGCCTTTCAGGAAAAAAAAAAAGCTGGATGGATATTTTAGAAAAATTAATTTTAATATTATTATTTTTTAAAATTGCAGATGAAAGGAGTAGATCTCTTTATTTATTTTTATAGCATTTTTAGATATTAAATTCTATTTAGAATTCAATTCTAGTAGACATGTGATCAACAGAGCAACAATAAATTCCACTGGGATCCAATTGCTTCGACTCTTTTAGACTTTTGGTTGGTTAAGAACAAATTTTTTATCACAAATCTTACCATATTTTACATTTGTGGGAACGCCCTGCAGGTAGTTGAATTCAGAATAAAGTTTTGTATTTCCGAGAATTATACAAATGAATAATTGTACAAAGAGTTGTTTGATTGCTTCCTTGTTATGCTGTAAGAAGAATGTGGTCTCGATAATTCCATTTTCTTTGTCAATACCATCACTTCTCCACCCTTATTGGACCGTTTCCTTTCTGGGCCAGTGACGATAGAGGTGGGTGGAGAAAGGGAAACACTCTGCGTGGCTCTTGTTTTGGTTTGTGATTCTGGACCGGTATACTAGAGGTCCGATGAGGTCTATGTAAACCATGGCCTAGTTTAGCCCACTCAAGCTGATGAAGCCAGTCTGAAGAGTAACAATTGCTGTCTTTTTTCAAGTTCAGCTCCCGGAAACAGAAAGTCAGGCGACCTGTAAAAGCTCAAATCAAGAGCCCAACACACACGTATTCTAGTAGCTCTTGGATAGGGTACAACAATATATTTGATTGAAGAGAAAAATAAATTTATTTTTAAAATGAATTTTTATATTTTTAAAATAAAAGGTACAAAGAGAACATGTGTTTAGAAATAAAATTTATTATTTTTTATTTCTAAAATATCTGGATAAAAAATACAATTATCTCTTTATCCTTTTTTTCTATTCTAGAATAACAATCACAAGCTACTTCAGAGATTGATATTAATATTAAATCTGTATTGAAACACCCCACCTCCCCTTTTTCCCCTGCTATGAAACCCGACATGACCATCAGATTCCAAGTCAGAAAAGCAACAAGAAGCGAAGATATAGAAGACTAAAACCCAATGATATATGTGAACCCAACAGCTCAAGGCTCGAAGTAATATACAGAGTCTTAATTGTTGGACATCGTCCCTTGCGAGAATATATTTCTTGCATCGAATCAACCTTTTTGGAGAGCCAGCCAGCAGGAAGCAGGAAGCAGGACTAGATTACCGACCGTTCCTTTTCAGAAAAGGTTCGCATGGCCTTTCACATTTGAAGTCCATTTATTTTCCAGATGGCTATTTGAATTACCCAGCGAATTAGTCCTGCTCTTTCCAACCTATGCAAGGCTTGATGCCCCGACTTAACTCGTTAATTAAGTGCCTGTCTGGAAGTTTTTTAAAAAAGTATTTCTAAAAAAATTTAAATTTTTTTATTTTTATTTTAAATTAATGTGTTTTTAATATTTTCAAATCATTTTGATGTATTAATCTAAAAATTAATTTTTAAAAAATAAAAAATATTATTAGCATATTTTTTTAAGTGAAAAGTAACTGCAATCACATTTTCAAATATATTTTAAATATACATAAATATAATTAAATTATTATATATTACTGCACGTATTAATATATACTAGTTGTTTTTTAGAGGGTTGAATTATATTTTTATAATTTTCTTTTTAAAAATTATTAGAAAGTAAAATTTTTGATATATAATAGATGAGAAGCTTTATTGGTGAATAAAACACTTTTTAATTATTGAAACAGTGATACATACTAAATGATATATCTTCTAGACTTTAGATTTTTTTTAATGTATTAATTATTTTCAAAGTAAAAGAGCATTCAATCTTAACTTTTTTTATTATATAGAATTATTTAATATAAAAATAAATTTTTTAGTTTATCGAAATCTTCACTAACAATAATTTTTTATCTCAATGCTAAAATATGGTATCCCCCTCTTTCTCCTCCACGCAAAAAAAAAGATTGAAAAAAAATAAAAATAAAGTTTGTTATTAAAATGTATTTTTTTAAATTAGAAAAACCAATTAAATCTAATAACTTTAAAAAATTAAAAATTAAAATAAAATTTTCAAATAAATTATATAGTTATAAAATATAGCCTATTTTTCCTGTATTTTCCATTTAAATTATATATCTTTCAATTCAACTTCAATTGAGTTATAATTTTAAGTGAAAATAAAGTTTGAGTATCAAATTATTATTTTTTTAAATCATTTATTCCAATTTCCAGTAATTTGTGAGAGAGCAATAATCAAGATAGGAATAGTGACAATACCACATTTTTTAGCTTTATACTTAATAATTATAAATTAATATATTAATTTTTTTAAAAAAAACATATATATATGAATAGCGGATCCAATCAGAATACAACAAAGACTTAATCTGAAACTGGGTTATACAATTTCCGAACCAATTTAAACCCGGTTTAAGATGAATATGGAAATAGAGGAGGTAAAACTCTAACACCAACAAATTGTTGTTTCTGATTTTATCGTTTAAGGTTTGGACTCTTTAGTATATGTTTGTTGAGGTTGTCAAAGATATCCGATATTTCATTCCTTCCCCTCACCTTCAGAGGTCTTTTTTACCAATATTTTACTGAGCTCAGCAAAGAACCTCGTAGCTTAATGACCCTGAGGTATCCCTTATTCTCAAGTGTTCTTGAGTTTAAACTCTGCCTTTAATGCTAGAAAATAATTAACAACAATGTGCTCATGCGGCATCCTTTGGCAGGATCAATTGTTTATTCTAAAGAAAAATGGGATTGAATAGAAATGCACTCACTGCATGAAACAATAAAAGAAAATTTAGAGACCAACACTATACCTCTTTCGCATTACAACATGTTTTTATTTAAAAATATATTAAATTTATGTGTTTTTGAGTTTTTTTTTATATAATTGTAATGTGTTGATATAAAGAAATATAAAAAGTTGTTTTAATATATCTTTAAATGAAAAAACTAATAACACATCAATTGTAAAATGATAATAAGAAGTAAAAGACTAATTGACTTGCTCCATAATATTAGATGATGAACTAGATTCCCTTAAATATTTCTCAAACATTAAACTGCTAGAAAAATTTGTCATAGAATAATCACTTAACTGACCCAATAGACATTGGTTTCATCAATTTACTAGTTTTTCAATTATTAATCAAGCACTCGTATAAATAATTTTTTTATCCAAGATTAATTGATCCACATCCTCAAAAACTCTCTAAAAAAATATCTCATTAATTCTCTTGAAAAAAAATCATAAAAAAAACAGCCTCCCACAAGAAATTATAGCCACGTGCCAAAATTCCCAGAAGAGTATTTTTTAGTTTCTACACAAGCGACGGGAATATATATTTTTTCAGTGATCCTCCCAAAGCATTAACAACTTTTATTTATTTATCTCTGAGGTCTCGCTCGTTCTTGTGATTTGCTTGGACCACGGTGCTTTTAACCAATAAAAAGATTTGTAAAATGGAAGCATCTTTTCTATATTAAAATTATATTATTTTTGCATTTGAGAAATCTTTTGAGAGAAATTAAAATCAGATTTTACAGTGGATTACGTGGTTATCTCAATAACTGCCACGTATACGAGGTCATTATGAATAGTAATTTGTGATTTTTTCAAAACGCAGCCGCTGCCGGAGACAAACACGCTCTAAGAAGTTACATTTTCGAGGGAGAAGACTTTTATTATTATTATTATGATTATTATTATTTTAAGAAGACGTCTTTTCTTCTTTTCTTTTTAAGGAGGCGTCGTCCATCGTTTTTCAAAGCCCTGCGTGGGTCAATGACTGTTCTGTCAATCACGTAGTCGTAGAAAATTTTAAATAAAACTTAGGTTTTTTTTTTTATGAATAGTTTTTATAGTGATTATTATTTTTTAATTTATTTTTATAATAAATTAAAATAATTTTTTATTTTTAAAAAATTATATTTAATATTAGAATATAAAAAAATATAAAAAATATAAAAATATTTTTTTACAAAAATAATTTCAAACAATAAAAATAAAAATAAAAATAAACATAATATACATTAGCATGATGATTAGCTTGAGTTTTTATTTATGATATAAATAATTTTTTATTTATGATATAAATAATCATTATTCGACAAGGAATAGTTTATGCTTAAGTTGATATATATATATATATAAAATAAAAATAAATCCAATTTATATTTAATATCATGTACTAACTAACAATTTTTAAAAAAATTTATCCAAACCATCAATTTAATATATTATATTTAAAATGATTCTTATTTAATATCATGTACTAACTAACAAATTTTTTAAAAATTTATCCAAACCATCAATTTAATATTCCAATTTATATTTAATATCATGTACTAACTAACAATTTTTAAAAAAATTTATCCAAACCATCAATTTAATATATTATATTTAAAATGTAAATATTTTCCTATTTAATATCATAATCATAATTATGAAATGGGAAAATTAATAAAACATCGATTATAAAATGATATGGACAAATTAATAAATTATATTTAGTTTCTGCACAAGTAACGGGATATTTTTTAGAGAGATCCTCGTAAAGTATTAACTACTTATTACTTTCATTTATTTCGCCCATCCCGCGCTCGTCTTTGTAATTGGCTCGGGGCTGCGGCACAGTGCATCACGTGGTAACATCCACAACTGCCACGTGTAGGAGTTTTTCTTTTTTTGGGTGAAATCACGTATATGAGGTTAGCTAGCAAGGACGCGTCCTTGAGACTGTAGACGTTTTTTTATTTTTCTTTTTTGTTTTTTTAAGAAGACGTTTTTTCTTCTTTCCTTTTTAAGGAGACGTCGGCCATCGTTTTCCAAAGTCATGCATGGGGTCCATGCGTGTTTCGGTAGGAAAGCTCTCCTATATAAAGAGAATAGACTTCGAGTCATGGAGACTCAAACAAAGAGTCTGATATATACGATTTAAGGGATGAGATTGGTGAGATTAGCAGGGGGCAAATCGGCACGAGAAAGGGCCAAAAGAAAGTAAGAGTAGAGTTTGAAGAAATGAGAGGTGTCGAGCCAAACTAAAAGAGGAAACTTATATAATCTCTCTGCAGAATACTGCAAAGCAACATCGTCTAGATCTGAAACATAAGATCAAGCAGAAGTTGGCTTGCTGCACTCTGCTGGGAGATTAGATTAGTTTCCTCTTCTAGTTTGACAGCCTCTTCTCTTATTTCCTCAAACTTCTCTCTGACTTCCTTTTGCCCCTCTCTTGTGCGTTTTTGTCCCCCGCTAATCTCACCCATCTTGTTACTTTTTTCCATCAGAAAGGAAACCAGAGATTTAAAATGCTTAATTTTTGTCATCTTGGTTCTGAAGCTGAAATTCCTTTTCCATAATCACTAATTGATCAGGTATGTATGCTCTTTATTTCTTTTGGGTTTTGTGCGTATGCTATTGTGTTGTTTGCAAGGATTTTTATAACCTGCAACAAGCCAACAAGCACCTTGTCCAAAAAAAAGCATGCAAAGATTTCTATATTATGCTCTGTACCAGACAAGGGAGAAAGGGAAATTTTCATGAATGAGACTTTCTGTTTTCTGGTCATGAATTTGGATATTCTTTGAAGTCAGAATAATCAAGAACGACAGGAGATGTTCGCTCTGATGGGACGGAAAGGGAAAGCGCAGCAGGTGGGGGAAAGGAGATTAATTTTCCGTGAAAGCAATGTTTTCTATATATTTGGGTTTACTTCCCGTAGAATGACCGAGAAGAAAGAGAATGGACTCTGGCAGAAGGTCAATGCAGGGGCACAATTCCTGGAAGCTTTTCTCCGTTTTCCTTCAAGGGCTATTATCAACTCCAGCCAGCTATTCGCTGGACAAGTGATAACACATGCCCAACTTGTTCGGAAAGACTAAAAGCAAGGGAGAAGTCTAATTGGGCTGCTAATAGCAACAAGAGACAAAAGATCCATAGAGCAACAAAAAACTCTGCTGGTGTATCCAGGGGCGGAGCTAGGTTAATTTTACAGGGGAGGCATAAATTAATATAATAATATATATATTATTAAAAAACTTATTTATTTAAATTAAAAATATTAAACAATAGAAAATTTTAAAATTTTTTGCAGGGGCCGGGCCCCTGCTTGCCACCCCTGGTTCCGCCCCTGGGTGTATCGGTATAAAGTATAAACATCATGTTGTCACACGTCTTACCGTATTTCGGACCTTATATTGTGTGAACGTGCGGCAGAAAGCTGAATTCAGAATAATTTTTTTTTTAATTTCCGATCATTATACAAGGTATGTTACACTCTTAACAAATGTTAGAATGAGTTGTTTCCTTGTTATGTTGTTAAGAAGATCAGGTTTTGTTCTTTCCATTTTCTTTAGCTGAATCATCACTTCTCCAGCCTAACGAAGACCGTTTCCCTTCGGGGCCAGTGTCGATAGAGGCATGTAGAGAAGGGTAAACATTCAGTGGAGCTCTTATTTTAGACTTTTTGTGGGCGATTCCGGACTACTATGATAGAGCTCCGATGAGGTCTATGTAAGCCGTGGCCTAGTCTTAGCCCATCAAAGCTGATGAAGCCTGACTAAAGATTAACGATTGCCGTCTTTTTTAAGTTCTGATCCCCATGAACAGAGATTGAGTCGACCGAGAAGAGCCCAAATCAAAAAGGCCAACCCAAACTGAAACACGCCCCCTACCTTCCTTTTCCCCCCTCTCTACTGTGGTACCCATCAATCATCATGACTCTGACATGATGGAGGATGATTCTCGAAAAAGACAAACATCCAACCCTATGGTTCTTTAAATGGTAACCCAACCCCAATACCTTTTACTGTTGGGTTGTTGCCGCTTTAAAGGATGTGTTGCTTGCATTGAATCAACCGTTTTTAGCAGCTGGCTAGGAGGACTGGATGGCCACAGGTTCTTTACCAACCGATCCTGCTCTTTCTGACTCGTGCAGGACTGGGTGCCCCAATTGACTCATTAATAAAATACACGCATAGGATTAAATTATTATATATTATTGCACATATTAATTTTTATTATATATTAAATTCTTAAAAAAGAACTATAGATAGAAAGCTAACTCAATCTGGAATATAGCATGGACTTAGTTTTAAACCAGGTTATACAGTATCCGATTTATTTTTAACCCGATTAAAAATGGGTATAGAGATTAAAAAAAAAAAAAAAAGCTAAAAATCTGACTCATTCAATCCTCATTGTTGCCCCGAGACATCCAATGTTCCCTTCCTTTTCCTCACTATGACGGGAATGTTTTAAAAAAATATATAGTAAAATCAGTGAAATGTTGAGAACTTGTTAGATAAATATAATCCATCCATTAAATATCATGGACCACCTAATAAATTTATTAAACATAATTAAATTTATCAGCGTCATTAGCTTAATAAATCATATATATTTAGAGTGTGAATCTTTTTATGTTTAATATTAAAACAATTAATCATAATTACCAAACGAGAAAACTAACAGCATAACAATTACAAAAACGATGTGAATAAAATTCAAAAAGAAGTAAAAGTTTTATTGACACTGAAAATTGATAGGAGGATTGATCGTAGAAGCATCCAGTTGGCCCATATACATTGGCTAGATTAATTTAATATTTTTATAATTTATCTATTATTGTCCATCGTAAACCGTTGTTGCTCTTCTCCCACAAGAAAGTATTGCCATTACTCCTCTTAATTAGTAAAAACATGAGCCAACTCCAAAACCAATCACGTCCAACGTAGGAATTACTTGAACGCTGTGAGCGGACCTAAGCTTCATGTTCTTAACCAAACCAACCAATCAACTCAAGCCACTTAACAGCCCTAACCCAATAATAAATCGCACAATTACATGAATGAGGATAATTATTCATGCCTTTTTACTTTTTGCCGTTTCATTCATAAAATTATCAAAAAGGATAAGAAGGCGAGATCAGGTGAGAGTTTGATGTTGGGAATTTACTCACCTCTCTCTGATAATTCGTCTCGTGCGTTCAAAGACATAGTGAGTTGGTTTCCCGCGTCATCTGTTGGTCTTTGACTTCTTTTTTTATTTATTTAAGTTTTTACAATAAAATTTTATTAATTATTAGAAGCATAAAACATTCATGCCGTGTTGATCAAATTATTTTATGTCCTAAACCCCAATAAAATACTGCTTTCGAGAGGAATGGACATTTTCCCGTGTGCCTCCCGTGTCTCTCTAACCCCCCAGCCAATCAACCGTAGAAGGAAATTGCCTTTCCTTTTTTTTTCCCCTTGCCTTTATCATATGGAAAGGGCAAGAAGAAAGAGGGAGGAATCCGGTAAATGGACACCGCAGAGGCACCACTCCTTTATGAACTCCTGCGTGCCGTTCGAGGCAGTGCTCGAGGAAGCAGTCCAAGTGGGCTGCCAGGTAAAAACAGAGACAAATGATCCACGAAGCAACACAAAATTCTACTGGTGTACAAACAAATTTTTATGGGATTGTGGTTTTGTTCTTTCAATTTTCTCTGCCAGACCCATCGCTTTTGCAGCCTTACTGGACCGTTCCCTTTTGGGCCAGTGACGATGATAGCGGTACGTGAAGAAAGGTAAACTTTCGGGGTGGATGAAAAAATTTAAAGTGCAAAAAAATAAAGAAAAAAAGATATTAATGACATGTTTTCTGGAAAAAATAGATTTTAACCATTAATTAAATAATTTTTTATTTAATATCAAGATAAAGATAAAAAACACTATGATGTGTAAAATTTATGGGAATAATCTTAAAAAAATAAATTTAAAAGTTAGATCTTTTAAAATCTATATAAAATTAATAAAAAAAGTGTTTATTTTTTAAAAAAATTAAATAAATTTAAGTTAATAAAGTAAACCTACAACGCAAATCTTTAATTTTTTTTATTCCATCAATTATCTTTAATTTAATTATACTATAATAAAGTGCATTTTAGTTTTTTGTATCAAATATTTTTCTTAGAAATAAAATAATTATGATAGGCATATGGTGACATGATAGTAAAAGTATATAATTAATAAAGGACAATGAAATTGTATTAAAACAATGAGGGGCGGAAAAAACATTAAAAAAACAAAAAATATTTTATTGCCGAGAATCTAACCCATTCAACCCGTTGTTGTTGTCTCAAGCATCCAATATTTTATTGTTTTCTCTTCCTTTCCCTCACTGTCATCTGTTTTATTTATTGTGGAAGTTATGCATGCAACGCGGATTGAAATTTAAAGCTCAAAGATTAATGAGCTCGGTCCATGAACTTCCTAGATTACCGAGCCTGAGGTGTTGTCTCATGCCTGGCATAGAAATGCACTCGATTCCCGGGAAAAAAAATACAAAAAATAGAAATAATAATATCATGAACCAGTCAATACATTTATTGTAAATTATTAAGATTATCTAAATCATCAATTTATTAAATTATATTTAGAATGTGTATTCTTCTACATTTAATAACAATGATAAATGAGAAAATTAACAGCATATAAATTAAAAAAAGAAATAGATAATTTATTAATTGTGAAATTTTTTATTGCTGTGCACAGAATCTTAAATAATAATGTGACAAGAAGATTTGTCGCAAGTGTTGCCTAAGCTTAGGTGATGACTCACCATTTCTGTTTAGCATTTCTGTTTTGGATTCTGTTAGTCGTTAAACAAACAGTTTTTCTATTCTGTTGTAACCGTTGCTTTCTATATGGCTATATATAGTCACAATAATAAAGAATAGACAGAATTCTTTTCAGCTCCAAAAGAACTGAGGTTCAACATTTGGTATCAGAGCCTTTATTGTTTTCTTTTTCTCTTTAAGCATCTTATAGCCGCAACTAAGATGACAAGTGAAGGCAGTTTCGTTCAACCAGCAATTCCTCGATTTGTAGGGCACTACGATCACTGGAGCATGCTGATGGAAAACTTCCTCCGCTCCAAGGAATATTGGCAAGTAGTTGAAACTGGTGTTTCTGCTGCAGCAGATGACAATAACCTCTCGGATGAACAACAAAAGATGATAGCAGATCAAAGATTGAAAGATTTACGAGCTAAGAATTACCTTTTTGAAGCCATCGATCGTTCAATTCTTGAGACTATCTTGGATAAAGGAAGTTCAAAGGAAATCTGGGATTCTATGAAGAAAAAGTTTCAAGGAAATGCAAGAGTTAAACGTGCACAGCTACAGGCTCTTCGCAAGGATTTTGAAATCCTCCACATGAAGGACGGTGAGACCGTCTCTGATTATTTTTCCCATACTCTCACTATCACTAATAAACTGAGGTTTCTTGGTGAAACATTAAATGATGTTACGGTTATTGAAAAGATCCTGCGATCTATGACTTCAAAATTTGATTACATTGTTTGCTCCATTGAGGAATCCAAAGACTTGGACACCATGTCCATTGATGAACTGTAAAGTAGTCTGTTGGTTCATGAGCAGCGCATGCACAGTCATGTTGTGGAAGAGCAAGCATTAAAGATTACTCATAACAGTAACAGTAGCACATTTAGTCGTAGCAGCAACATTTTTCGTGGAAGAGGACGAGGTCGTGGTAGGCAAAGCTTTGACAAATCCCTTGTGGAATGTTTTTATTGTCATGACCTTGGTCATTTCAAGCATGAATGTCTAAAGAAGAGCAAAGAAAAAGAATCACAAGCTTATTATGTTGAAACCAATGAACCGTTATTGCTAATGGCATATGTTGACAATACAGAGAAGATGGAATTCAAAGACTCTTGTTCAGAACCTGAATCTCTTGAAATGGATGAATGCAAAGAACTTGATTCCGTTGAAATAGATGAATGCACAATGGAGTTACTTCTAATGGCGCATATAGAGAAAGCATCTGATGAGACAGCATGGTTTCTAGATTCAGGATGCAGTAATCACATGTCAGGACACAAAGATTTCTTTGCAGAACTGGATGAGAGCTTTCGCAAATCAGTCAAGCTAGGGGACAACTCCAGCATTGATGTAATGGGAAAAGGCCGTATCCATCTGCAAGTTAACAATATTCCACAAGTCATTTCAGAGGTATTCTATATTCCTGACTTGAAAAACAATCTATTGAGCATTGGCCATTTGCAGGAAAAAGGCTTGGTCATCCTGTTTCGATACAATAAGTGTAAAGTGTATCATCCTGAAAGAGGACTCATCATCGAAACAACTATGACCCTTAATAGAATGTTTGTTCTTCTTGCAAAGATCCAACTTCATGATCAGAATTGTTTTCTAACTCCAGAACAGAATTTAGATTATCTCTGGCACTGTCGGTATGGTCACTTGAGTTTTGGTGGTCTACAGACTCTACAAAAAAAGCAAATGGTTCATAGATTACCACAGTTGAAATGTTCTAC